TAAAAAATCCTTGCATAGATATTTAAATACACAGAGTATTTAGCCCTAAATGCTTGGATCTTCAGACATTGTTTTTTAAATACACATTAATTTTAATTACGATACTATAAAAACTTGCTTCCAAAGTCTTCCCATCCTTTCAGCCCCATGTTGAACAGAGTCCTTAAAGGGACAACATCCCTTTTCTTCCTGCGGAACAAATGACTTCACCTTTTTCTTCTGTGCGATGAACTAGCTTTAAGAGACCCCCTCCACAAAAATCGGGACTTTGCCCTTACTTTGCCCTAGTCTACACTAAGGCTTTATTTCAAAATAACCTCATTTTAGGTCAAATTAATTACCAGAGCATCCACATTACCAAGCCTGTTACTTTGAAATATCAGGCTGCTTATTTTGAAATCTGCACTCCTACTTTCTTCAAGAAATAACAATAATTTTGAAATAGTTAATTTGAAATAGCCATAGTGTGGATGTTCTGGTGCTGCTATTTTGAAATAATTACTCCCCAGACTAATGCAAACTAATTATTTCCCAGTGCTGCCTGGGACTCTAAGTTAAGGTAGAACATCACATTAACAGAACCTGCCATAGACTAATTTCGAGGCTTGCCTGTAGTGAGGATATGCTATTTCAATAGTGTTACTTTGGGAGTTATTAAATCGATTTTAGTTACTTTGAAATAGTTACCTTAGGGCATGTCTACACTAGGAATTAAATCCTTTGTCATGCCTAAAATCTTTGGAAACATATTTTTAACATAAACATATAGTGAAATCTCATAAACATGTCTTATTATGAAAAATCACAAAATAAGTTGTTCCCTTTTTTCTAAAAGCATGAACTTTGTTATGCACACACTAAACTGCTCTGATTATTTAAAATAATGTCTTTGCTTCAGTGACTTTAAATATGTAGTAATCTGGAATGATTATGTTATGAAGGCTTAAGGATATATTTACAATTATAAAATCAGCCTACAAATACTGAAGAAAATGTAAAACAGAGAAGGGCTGCATCATGTATTCCATAATCTTTAATGTTGTATTCAGCTGGACAGCTGACTTGCCCTTACTAAAAATTTTTGCAAAGAAATCACTAACAAACTTCAAGAAAACCTGTGGCTGACTTTTTTTTTATTCCCAAATTTAGTGCTTTTAATTAGATACCTTCTGCATGTCCAGTCTTCACAATCTGGCATGCAATGGGAAACATGTTCCATTTTCTTTAGACCAAAATTTTAGAAGAGTGTTTATTTTTGTTTTTTTTACAATATCAATTGCTGCATTTAGGTTCAGGGATTTGCCTGCAATAGATGGGGAGGAGGGAGACAGTGGGGGAGGGGCCTTTACGAAGCAGGGGTGGAATATAGGTAAGTCCATAGGCTGGGAAGTTTGCCTCTCCAACCAGCAGCTTCACCCAGTGCCCATCCTCCCAGGATAATAGCTTTCCTTTGGCAACAATATACAACATTTTGCTATATTAAAGATACTATCTGAGGCACTGTCTGCACTGTTACATACACCCCCTCAACTCATTTACATTAAAAGAACAATAGTAAAGTTGCAAAGCCAAGCACTCAAAAGTTAGTAAGGACCAGGTTTATGGTTCTCTGTGCAGATGAAAATTCCCTCCCAGCCTCTGTTTCTGTATTCATTATGGTAATCTTCAATCGCATGATCATATAGGCACTCCCATTCCAGGCTCTTTGTTTTCCTCCTGGAACCTCTTTTAGTCTCAGACTGACCCCACTTTGGCTCCCCGTCCCAGCTCCCTCCGTCTCCTCAGTCACAATCTTCCCTCCCCTCCAGGCGTCTTGTCCTAATCAACACCCCTTTCCCCCTGACTCCTTCTCGCTGCTTGGGCACCAGCAGAGAAAGCATTGAGAACACATGAAAGACAGTCTCCCAGATCTCAGTTTTGGTCCGTGGTGCAACAGTGGTTGTAGACAGCCTACAGCAATAATTGCTGGGAAAGTCCTGCTCAGCCCCTTTCTCAGTGCAGACCAAATCCTCAGAGAATTTAACACCAAATATAAGCAGCCTCTACTAAGCATGTAAAAGCTATGATTTTTCATTTGATCTGAGGAAGTGGGTCTGGCCCACGAAAGCTCATCATCTAATAAACCATCTTGTTAGTCTTTAAAGTGCTACATTGTCCTGCATTATGATTTTTCAGTGGTTCATAATGTGGGTAATTTTATTTTTTCACAGGAACAGCGGGCACACATTACCAATGGAATACTCACATCAGTGGCTGGTTAAGGCTAACCATACTAACTGTTTTTGGAGTTGAGCATAACCATTTTCACAGTAATCGAAAGCTTTATGGATGGGGTAGGGAGAAAAAAAGCTAAATCTAATGATCCAACCAAGACCTTTCTGGTAAGTGCAACATTGCTGCTATTTTCTTAGACCCCTGGGCAAAAGGTAATACTCCCACTTAATATTTATCTAATAAAAGGACTTGTATACAGTAATGCCTAGAGGTCCCAATCATGGATCCAAACCCTGCTCACCAGTATATAAGAAAAAGACAGCTCCTGTCCCAAAGAATGTGTAGTCTGAGAACACAGCAGAGGCAGCAGGTGGATGTAATAAACAGCTGGGAAAAGCACCAGATCACAATGAAACTACTTTTGATTATAATTGACTTTAGAATTTTGAGGGCTCTTATTGAAACTAATCAATGATACTCAAAGACTCAGCAATTCTAGCTTCATTGTCTATATACAACCCATCTGAATGTTATATACTGTTTTTTTGCGTATGACCATGTTTCCTTCAAGTGGCTGGTCCCCGTAAAGATTGAAGCTTTCTGCTTGCTCATCTCTAATGGAGTTCAAATGGCACTGAGTCTTTTCTTTTTGTTCTGATGATTCAGGGTTTCATCATTACGGATGGCCACAATGCTTGCATCTTTGTGGCCAGGGTTTGTCATAGAAAACACTCAAGTGCTGTTAAATGCATTCAAAGAAAGGACCAATTGACAGCACAATTTGGTTTTATTGGAACAGCAAAGCGTCCAAGTGACCTGTCTAACCCTTACAAAAGCAAGAGAACAAGGTTGGCAAGCCAAACAGCTATAAAAGCTATTTAAGGATTCCAGTAGCAATGTGGATGTCATTTTCTAATATTGTCTAGCTTTTCTAAGGTACCCTCTATCTACAAAACATCTCTTAGCCATAGTGACAACCACCAATTTTATACACACACACACACACACACACACACACACACACACACACACCTCTATTCTATATCTGTGTGCATGCAGGAATATTATATATTTTCATGCCATCTCTCTCCCATTCAAAATAAAAATTAGTTCCTCCTGGACTTTTCATGTAAGATTTTCCTCGTGCCTTTTCTTTTACAAATCTACTTGGTAAGACATTCATACACTTCACTAAAGCATGCAGAACACACCAAAGACCATCTTGTTAGTAAAATCAAGGAATTTTTTTTTTAAATATATTTCATCCAGATGCCAAGACTTCCAAATAATGTATTTAACTATGCATTTCTAGTAGAGCAAATTGTGACTTTGATTGAAAGTGGGTAAACTATTGTACAGTTCAATGTTCTCAGAATCTTGGGAACTGTTTTGGGTGACTTCTTAAACTAGCTTAAGTCTAAAAATCCTCATCCTTTCATTTCAGTGGCTTTTAGTTGTTTAATGATGATTCAATGAACAATATGCATGTATGTTTTTCTAGCTGGAACAAAGGGGTGTATTTTATACCACAGGATCGGATTCTGTAATCTGTTAAGGCTGCTTCATTGCCTTGAGCTACATTTCCTGAGTACAGGGAATGTGGTTGCCTTAAAGAATTTACAGTGGGAGAGTTGATAGGCATCTTCTTTAGACCAACTGGTAAGGGCTTGCTCTCTTGGGCTGTGTCTACACCGCACACTTGTTATTTCAAAATAACTCATGTTATTTCTAAATAAGAGTGTTGCATCTGGCCCAAAGACCTTATTTTCCTTCAGATATTCCTTAGTTATAAAAACTAGAGGAGATGTAGAGTTCTTTCAGAGCAAGATTTTTTTAAATATTTTCATACAGGTTTGGCAGGTCTCTAATATTTAAATATTAATGTAAATTAAGGGAAACAAAATGGATGTTTCAGAATGTGCTTTATGAGGCTTTTGCTTTTTTGTTTCTAACAGAACAACATCTTTAAGGACTAGGTAATGAAAGCAGCACAAAGTATTGTGTTTCTTTTCTATTGCAAGATTCATGTTTGACTGTCTCTGCTTACGTGGTCCATGCTTTGTTCAGGCAAACCTCTCAAAGCAAACAATAAGAGGTAGCGAGGGAGTAGTGAAATACAGATTACCCTTTCAGGAATAACTTTAGTTTACCTGCTGTGCTGATCACAGGTCTTGCTACTTAGTGTTGGAAACATTTTGTTTGTTATATTGTTTTAATTCTAAGTGATAGCCTCTGAGAAATGAGAGATTGCCAAATGCTGAAAGCAGAAATAAATAATTCACTACATGGCAGTGAAGAGATTAATTGTTTTGATGCACAGACAAACCCCTCTAATGTGTATCTGAAGCATTCAGTGGCCCAAAGGAGCCAATGAGGGGAAAGATCTCCAGGGAACCTGCTGGAGATCTAACCCTCTCTTTGTGGGGAGGTAGGGTTTACAATCATGGCTTGAGGAATGCTTGTTTGAATCTCACCCATAAGTATGTCTAATAGTGCTGCAATCTGGAAATGTAATTGACTTGTGTAAAAGTAAATGCCAAAATGAAAAGCTCAGTCCTGAAAAACGAAACCCTGAATGAATAAATCATTTGGGTTCTCTGAATGGTTTGACAGCTTAATCCAAGCTCTCTTGGTGGTGAGAGATGGCAAAGAGGGATCCTATTATTGACATGTATTTAAGTGCAGGATGAGCCTGCCACATTGGATAAATGGTTTCACTTTGGCACGAGCAGCAGTTGACTTAGCGGCCTGGGGAGGAGCTGGGGACTTGCCACAGGGAGAGGGTCATGGAAGGAAACACGCGACTCGTGCAGATCATCCGTGAAATGCGCTCGGAGATCAATAACCTGGAGAGAGAAAATAGGGCCCTTCGGGTGGAACTGAAATTCAGTGGCCTGAGGACAACTACCCAAGCAACAGGAGCAAGAGGAAAAGGTGGACAGGGGGAAGCCAGGAGCCTCACTGATTCAGGGGAAGAGACTGTCACTTCACCAGTGGCCCTGAGTAGGAATGTCTCTGCCAGCTCCACTCTGACCCTGCAGGAACAGAAAGGTACTGGAGAGCCATGGTTATTATTGAGCTTATTACATTGCACTTAGCTTTCATTCAAGAACTGCAGAGTTCTGGACTGTTGTTATGTACCTGGAGAGAATGGCAAACCACCATTACTGTGTACTTGGCCACAGTGTATGAAGCCCTCTGGCCTTCCTTAAGGCACTGATCTAGCAAAATGCTTAAACATGGACTTAACTTTGAGTGCCTGGGTAGTCCTCCTGAGGTGCTCAGCCAAGCATTTGTAAGTACTTGGCTGGCACAGAGCCCCAGTGAATAGTTACATGGTCTTTGAGAAAAAATTGGCTTAATATTGTGCATTCTCTGGGGAAGGCTCTGTCTTTGCAGTGTTTATTAGTCCAGTGTCTAGTCCCCTGACTGGAGTTCTTAGGCACAATAGAATTAGCAATATAAGCAGTGACACTGACCTCAAACAGTGACAAATAAAGTATAATTCCATTTAAACCAGTGTGAGGCTAGAATCATACTCCATATGTGTTGTGCTTAGTATATTCTGTATGTGAGAGAGTGAAGGTGACATCCATGAGGCTGCTATAGATAAAGTGAATAAGGAATATTTGGCTTCCTTTTTTTTCTGATGAAATGAAATAGGATGATGTGTTTTTTGTTAATGTGTGAATTACCTCACTTGGGTGACTTAATTGAGCAGGATTTACTGCAAAAGACGTTTGTTCAAAAGCTTCAGAAAGGTAGCCAAGTTAGATGACATACAAACGTTTAAAACTGGACGATGTAGATATTCCCGCTTGTGTTTATGGGAGCAGGGTACTTGTACAACAGTGTTTAAGGAATATCATCTTTTTACTTCGGCTGTGTCCAGACTCAGGGGGGTTTTCAAAAAAAGTAGCCTTTTTTCGAAAAAACTTCACCTGCGTCTAGACTGCAGCCGCGTTCTTTCGAAATTAAATCGAAAGAACGCGGCTTTTCTTTCGACAGCGGTAAACCTCATTGCACGAGGAAGAACGCCTTTTTTCGAAAGTGATCTTTCGAAAAAAGGCATTCTTGAAAGCAAACAGGACTTTTTAGAAAGAGAGCATCCAGACTCACTTGCTGCTTTCTTTCGAAAAAGCGGCTTGCTTTTTCGAAAGTTCCGCGTGCAGTCTAGACGCTCTCTTTCGAAAGAGGCTTGCAGTCTAGACATAGCCTTCATGTCTGTATGGTACTTAGCCCAATGGGGGCTGATCCATGACTGGGTATAAATAAATAATGAAAATAAATCATCATAATTGTGTCTCCAAATCTCCTCTGGCCTATTTCAGAGATTGGCCATCCATAAAATTTGTTGGCCACCTGACAGGGCTAAGGTCCATGCCCATGATGAAGTAACTCTAGAGAACATGGGTTTAAGTTCAGAGAGAACATATTTAAGAAGAGAATAAGGAGATAAATCCATGGTGTGGGTGAGGTCAGTGTATTAATGTATTTAAATAAAATTGGTGACTGCATGGAATTGAATAACTTAAGGTCTGTTCCAAATCCATTGAGCGAAATGGAGAAACTCCTGTGTATTTCAAAAGGCTTTGGATCAGGCCCTTAAAACGGTACAAATTTGGGGAATAGTAGGCTGCTCTTTTCAAGTGGACGGATTGGTGAGCAAGTAGCTTTCCAACTACTATGCTTCCCCTCATCCATAGTTCTTGGAAGTGGAGGGGATTTCAAAGGAAGAGAGCATTTGTTTGCTTCTCTTCCCCCAAAAATATTTGTAACTTTTTTTGAAATAAAATCTTACTTTGTTCATAAAATTTAAAAACTATCAGATGGCATCATTGTTTCAAGCCTAAGGGCTCGTGGCCTGCTCCTGTACCTGGATAGCTGCGTATCTGCGGGCCAGATTCTGAACCCCTTACTCCTACTGATGATTAGTTACTGATAGGAATAGTCCTGGTGACTCAGTGATATAGATCTCCCATTCAGGCCTTATGTAAATATCTTTGACAAGACTTTTGTTGGTTATTGGCTTTACACTTCTAATAAAGGAAGAAATCTTTCAAACGCAGAAATAGCACATAACTCCCCATAGCCAAGTGCTCCTAACTGCCACTTCTGCTTAGGAAAATCTTCCCCAAATATATTTTCTTATCACAAAGGACTTAATAATTTTGCAAGTGGTTTTTAGTTTCCATATGATAAGTCTATGAAGAAAATGAGTGTATTTAATTTGTTTGCCACTCTTATGATTTTATATCTGCTAAACAGGCACTAGTATGATTGTTAGGCGTTATTCCAGCTCTTCCTCAGTGCAATCTTTTTCTGGCCACAAGCACCACAAAGCTGAGAAAAGACATCTCAGTAATGGAATCATGGCAGTACAGGGAATTGTCAAACCACCAGCAAGCTCTTCCGTGATGCAAATAGCAAACGAAGAAGAAAAAGGATGTGCAGAAATTCCAGCTCACTGCTTCTCCAGCAATAATTCTAGCAAAAGAAGATCTTTTCAAGAGCACGTCTATAAGTGCAGGTAGGTAATATTTACTGGTAGAGTATAGATTGCTTCCACTTGATTGGATCATAAATGTGGGTAATTCTTTGGATTCAAAGCTCTCTATGATGAGGAGGGTAATTATTGAAATGTATGTAAGCTACAGGGGAAATTTCTGTTATGGATAAGGAACCTAGTTTTGTTCTCAGTGAGGTCAATGGCAAAACTCATTGTTTTCCGTGGAGGACTGACTGCCTGATTTTTTTATATGCATAAAAGTGTGCATGCGTGTGCACACACATACACACACACTCACAGAGACAGACAAATGTAGAGAGTTTGCGCGTCTGTCTGTAAGTCCATCTGTCTTTGAGTCCATTTCTTCAAGGACTCCTCCTAAACTGTAAGAGCTAGCACAAACAAATTTGGTAAACAGCTCTTCTCCTAACTTAAAGCAAGGTTAGGGTTTTGTTGTGCCCAGAATCTGATTGTGTTTTCCATAACATGGAAAGGGAGGGGGCTGATCAAAATCTAATTGTGTTTTCCATAACATGGAAAAGGAGGGGGCTGATACTCTACAGTTACCACTGGAATCATTGTGATGCTCTGAAAAGCTATGCCACATTTTTCTATTTGAATGAAAAGCAGGAGGACATGAAGGCTTAATTTGTTGGAAGTTTGATAAACACATTTCACAGTTCACCCGAGGTTTTTTTTACTTTGTAATTTTATGTTTTCCTGTAACTTGAAGCATTATAGTTGACTCTACACCTTGGAAAGATTACTCTGAACTACTTGTACAGTCTGCTAAATACTAACTGAACTATAATTTCTCAGAAACAAGTCTCGGATTTCACTCTGCACTGCTCAATTAAAACTTCTCCAGAAGCAATAAAAAATGTACACAAAAACGCAGGGCCCCGCTTTACCACAGCGCATGCGCGGGGCTTTTTGAAGCGCGGGGCCCTACTGCAGAGTGACCACAGGGTAGGGGCAGAAGCAATAAAAAATGTACACAAAAATAGGATATCTAAAGAGTACAATAGAAAATATTGGCTATATTGTATGTTTTATAAACTGGTGGTTTGCATTCTGCTAGAAAAACATGTTTTGTTCTGATCAACCTATGCTAAAAAGAATTAATAGTAGACCTAGAAGGAGTCCGGAGATGAGTATAAAAATGGTTAGAGGCACAGAATGCTTTGTGTATGAGAGGCTGGAAAAGACTTAGGATAAAATATTCTAAAAATCCTTAAGTCCCATTTTTAAAAAGTTATTTCGGGCTAGCTTTTTAAAGGTGTTTATGTATCTAACGATGCACCTACAGAGATTTTTTTAAAATGCCTGGTATCTATCTCCAATTGATTTCACCCTAAATCTCATTAACAGTCATCTTGGATTTAAGTTTCTTTCAGATCAGGTTTACACTAGACCAGGCAGCTTGGCTTAAGACCAGGAAGAGAGTGACCAGATGGGACCAGAATGTTCCATACTATCAGCCACCGGCCATGGGTAAATGGGGGCCCTTATGCCCCCAAACTCCTCCCACCTCGGTTCCAAGTGCCCCTGACAGGAGCACCACTGGGGCAAGGTCATGTAGTCCTGACCCCACCCACTCCGAGGGCCTTCCAGGGCCAGGCCAAGCCATGCAGCCCTGCCTCCCTCCCCTCCTAGGAGCCACTGCCTGACCTACAGAGATTTTTTTAAAATGCCTGGTATCTATCTCCAATTGATTTCACCCTAAATCTCATTAACAGTCATCTTGGATTTAAGTTTCTTTCAGATCAGGTTTACACTAGACCAGGCAGCTTGGCTTAAGGTACACAACTCCAGCTATGTAGAATACATAGCTAGAGTCAGCTTACTTTAAACTGAGCTTGGTGGCATCCCCACATCAGGACATTGATGGAAGCAAATGCTCCTGTCACCTTCTCTTACTCTTGGCAAGAGCAGGAGTACCAGATGCCGTCGGAAGCGCTCTCTGAGTTTGATTTAGCAAGTACTAATAGGCAAGAGCAGGAGTACCGGTACCAGATGCCGTCGGAAGCGCTCTCTGAGTTTGATTTAGCAAGTACTAATGAGACTCGCTAAATTGAACTCCATGGAAGAATGACAATGCAGCAATTGATCTTCTGGAGAGAAGACACGGCTTCAGTGGGACTGTTAGGGGCTTTTGGACAGCTTGCTCTTGAACTGTTTTGAGAGGCTATGAATAAGTGGAAATATGAAATAGGCGCACAAAATATGGCACAGCGAAGATATTTACTCTCTCATAATCAAAGAAAAATGAAACATTTGTTGAAAGTGAAAAGGCAACAGATCAAAAATATGCGTTTCTTAACAAATGCTTTGGGATCGATGGGTGAAAATGGCTATTTAACTCATTGTTTAGTCAAAGCAGTAGTACTGGCTGTTTTGTTTGCTGCTTTTGAGAAATAAGGAACTTCCACTCTAGCTCAGAGCAATGATCCATCTAGTACAGTATCCCGGCTCTGATAGTAGCCTGTGTTGGCTGTTTCAAAAGAAGGTGAAAGAAAAAATTATTCGATGGGGAAAATGAAGCATGTGCCCACCCAATTTGGGCTTAATTGGTTTTTAGCCTTTATTTATAAATTTTCTGACAAAGTCATTGTCGCTTATAGTTTCTGGTCATATATGTATGACAACAATAAGAGAAGATGCATCAGGCCCTCAGAAACTCCACTGCCCTGATCAAGGGCCTGGGCTAACTGAGGGTACGTCTACACAGCAGGGCTAAAATCAAATTCAGTTACACAACTTTGGCTACGTCAACCTCGTAGTTTGAGTCAAAATAGCTCCAAAAGCCAAATTATGCTATCTGCACAGCAGGAAGCTGAGGAAGAACACTCTTCCTTTGACTTCCCTTACACCTAATGAAACAAGGGTTACAGGAGTAAGAAGTCCTCCAGCCAAGGGTTATAGGAGTAAGAAGTCCTCCAGCTCAACATTACTTCAAAATAACAGCTTGTAGTGTAGACGCGCACTGTTTTTTTCAGAATAACGTCAGTTATTGCAAAATAACACTGATGTGTAGATGTACCCTGACTGTTTGGCTGCCCAACTGAAGTATAGACCTGAGCCAAAGACTCTTTGGTGTGCCACCCTTACTGGGGTCTGGGACTCAGTAGCAGTGTGTGGTGTTGGGCCTGATCACAGACCCACACTCACATCACCCGTCACCCCCACTAATTTCCTCATGTCAGGCAACCCTGCAGAAACATGGTGGATTGGCCACCCACAAACCCAGAAGAGATGAGGCTGCTCTCCCCAATGGACTATAAGATCTTCCATTGACTTGCAGCAAAGTGACATGCATGAAGCAGATTATAAGATGGTTCTCTTTATTAAAGTGCAGAAGCGAACCTTGATTTGAGTCCAGTGCTGTGTTCACACTGCTCCAAACTTCATGGGGAAGGGCAGAAGAGATGGCAAAGGCTGCATTATGCTAATGGATGGTACCATCTGCTCACTGCCCTGCACTCTAGTCACTCCCCCCAACCTCTGTACATCCTCCAATACAAACTGTGATCAAGCAGCATCTGGATGAAAGCATTCACACAGCATCACATATTCAGGGCAGTCCGTAAATGGCATAGACTCTTGCCTTAGCATTCATCATATGTATTCTTCATCTGTGTACAAGCTACAAGAAGGCGGTTAATATACAAGTTGAAAGATCACTGCCTCTTACAAGTAACAGCCATGTGCTTTATACCCCTGGAAGTGGCCCCCACAAGATCCTATGCAAAGGGTCCTCACAATGGCTATGCATCACTTAAGGAGTACTTAAGTCTTCAAAATAAGACTTAGGTGGTGCATAGGCCTGAATCATATTCTTCTCAGTAGAGATGAATTTCACCCATAATGCAAGGCTTAAGTTGAATTTAAGTAGAGCACAGAGAAATGTTCCAGACGTCTGATCTGGGGCATATGTTCTCCTATAGTAACTAACCAAATGATCTTCAGAGGGCTGCTTTAAAAAGATCAGCATGGTAGCACACACAACACTCAAAGCTTTCCAAGACTTTGAAGAGGACAAAAATAGTCGACTGTTAGCTGCCAAAAGCGTCATACTATTGCTATAGCTACCAAGATGCTCACTAGAGACTTTGTCTGCCCAATATGCTCACTAGCATATGTGACTTCAAAGTCACTCCAGAATCCATAAGGAGAGAACATGAAAACGTTGTTGAATCAATGGACTACACACACATGTACAACTGTTGGAGAAAAACATCTTAAAGTTTTTCAAGATTTTTTTTTCTCCTGTTGCTTGGAAGAGGAAAGGTGGCATTTACAGCTAAGGAGTAAAGGTGGGGAGAGAGAGAACTTGGTCATTTATTCTCCAGATATGTGATTTCTGAACATTTGAAGATGTATGTTTTAATCACTATCAGATGTTCACTTGTATGAGCAAGATAGAGGCTGCACATACATAGTTGGAAGTTGCAAATGTGTACCTTAAAATACCTTACATGTGCTTGAACATTTTTATTGGCTTGATCTTTCAGTGAACAAGTGTAAGATTATTAGAAGACCACTTAAGTGTATAAGCTATAAGAAGCACACACCTGACTACTGCAGCCATTTGTGTACTGCTCTGCATGCAGTTTTGTAGACATACAAGTGATACATAGCCTTTGGGAAATTTCTCTTTTCTCACTTTTTGCATATGCTGAACATTCATAGCAACTCATAATTCTTTCTCATTTTCCTCTAGGGGTAAAGTAAAGGCGGTTAGTTTCCTGTTGCCAATGGATATGTCATCTTATTCTGAAAATCAAGGTTCTTTCAAATGCCCACAAAATCAGGACACAAAACAGTTAAGCACCATTATTGAAAAGGATATGTGAGCTGATCAATTTTTAAAGGCCCGTTGATTCTTGAGGTAAACTAGCCTTAAATGATAGCTGCATGTCAGATTATGTTTCCCCAAAGTGCTTTGGCAAGAGGTCTTCAGAGAATCACTTAGACTGTGTTCCAGGTCACAGGCCTGTTGTCTAGCAAGGAAATGGAAGTCATGACGAAACTTGTCAGAAGCCTATATATCTCTTGCCCAAGGGTTTCAAAAGCGCATATCTTGAAAGAGTATATTTTTGCAAGATCTGCATACTTGAAGAGCTACTAGCATTTGTTGCAGTGTTACTGTTACCATGCAATACAATTTCTTATGTTTTGTTGTTGTTCTTCTCATTGCCAGTAAGGTGTATATTGCAAATTACAAAATAGAAACCATTAAAGAACTTGTGATTTTTTTTTCTGTACACAAAGCTGTAAAATCTTATAATAGAAATACAGCTGGGCTTGTATATTAAGAATAGTATCTTAACATTGATTTGAATTCTTACAGAAATACACATTGACAGTCAATATCCTTTTTCTGTTTATTTCTGTGAATATTCTCACACAGGAGATACTGACGGGAATGCTCACCAAAACTGCATTAAAGAACAATTGAAGGAAAAGAAACCATGACAGCTCTTAATATGAAAATGTGACCAAGAGCCTGATTCTAAGTTATGCTCATCTGATCTGCGACCAGAAACACATCACGTGTTCAATCAAAGCTGCTGGAATTATGAATATCAAATGCTTGCAGTGTATTACTTGTGAACCAGCTCCAAATCAAGAATTATTTGCTGCAAATATTCAGCAAATAACTTCAAATGCAAAGAAAATGTGTGAGAGAGAAATGGGGAAAATTCATGACAAAGAAAAGAGGAGAAACTCATCAAGTAAATTTGAACTATTCACTCAGTAAATTTTAGAAACAGACATTGCCAACACAGTGTTTAATTTGGCTACAAATATTTACAGACTGGAAACATTGCACATACATTCCTATTTTCTATACACTGTACAGGACTATGAGTAACCACCACCAGGAGGACTTGAACCTGGGACCTCGGTATAGGAGCCTCTACCCTCTGAGCTAAAAGTCAGCTGGCTCCCAGCCCATGCTGTAGAGGTCTCTTGATCTTAACTGTTGCCGTGGCCTAGGTACCACTTGCATTGCTCAGTAACCACACTAGGGATACCTCTACACTGGCGGCTTCTTGTGCAAGAACAGCTGTTCTTGTGCAAAAACTTGCCAGGTGTCTACACTGCACACGTGTTCTTGCACAAGTAAATTTACAGTACAGCATCAGAAAACAGGGCTTCTTCTGGAAGAATAGTAATAGAAATGTAGCCGTGTTAGTCTGGTGTAGCTGAAGCAAAATGCAGGACTATGTAGCACTTTAAAGACTAACACAATGTGTTCATTTTTTTTAATTGTATCCTTTGGTATATATGGTTGTGACTATTTTCTGCCACTATTTGATCTGAGGAAGTGGGTCTGGCCCACGAAAGCTCATCATCTAATAAACCATCTTGTTAGTCTTTAAAGTGCTACATAGTCCTGCATTATTCCTCTCCCCATGAGAAATTAGCCCTCTTGCACAAGAGCTCTTCTGCAAGAGGGCAGTGTAGACAGTCAACATGAATTTCTTGCGCAAGAAACCTCTATGGCTAAAATGGCCATCAGAGCTTTCTTCCGCAAGAGAGTATCCACACTGCCATAGATGCTCTTGGGCAAAAGCACATGCCAGTGTAGAGATGCTCTTGTGGAAGACTTTTTGCACAAGAACTCTTTCGCAAATCAGTTCTTGTGCAAGAAGCTGCCAGTGTAGACGTAGCCTATGTGTGTGGGTTATGTATGCATCACAAAACGTAAGCATTAAGAGGAGCTGTTTATACACAGAATTAATATAATGTGGCTACAGAACAAATTTATTCCAATAGACTGCATTTAAACAACATACTTACGGTACTTGAATGTTTTAAGAGTAATTACTGAGAGTTTACTCCATCAATTTTACATTTAGTTAAACATGTTTTTGTACATTCTCATTCAGATTCTGATCTCTCTGCTAATGTTGTTTTTCATATAGTTTGGGGCCAGTATATCTACTTTGTAATACTGCCAGTAGAACTAGGTGAATAGCTCTCAAAAACTGTTTCTACATATAGTAACACTAATTAAAAAAAAAAACCTGATTTTCCTTCTGTTTCCATGTGTTCATGATTTCTCATCTGTATTTGCTTGCAAGCAAATTTAGTGACAGAACAACCTAATGAACAGCTAATTTTAGAAAATATTTGCAGAAAGTGAATGTTTATATTCCCAAGCATAATAACCCTTCTCTCACCAGAAACTAGATTCTAAATATATGTTCGGTCAGGCTTGGATTCTGGAAAGCCTCCTTAATCAGTGAGACTTTAGGACATGCATAAGTGCTTTTGTGAATCAGTACCACAGAACACTTACAATGCCTCACGATCAATAGGCTCAACCAAAGTTAACCAACACAGCTTGACTTTAAATTGCAGATCTTGCATGCTGATGAGCTAAAAATGAAGATTTATTTGTATAAATTATTTGGCAAATGATTTTGAATAATGAACACATTTGAGAGAACCGTGGGCTGCTTATCAAATATAAATGGAAAAAGTCTAAATTCAAAAACTACACAGAGTGAATTATTTATTAGCTTTAGTCACTGGCCTTTTCAAAGGGACTGAATTTCTGGTCATGAGTTTCACATAATTATTGAAAATTTTTCTACTGATTATTTTGAGAAATTCAAATTTACCTCATTTACATCCATATGGGTTTCTGGTTTTAAAATGTTTGTTGTAATTTGAATGCTCCCTTCTCTTACATTTTCAAGTAATTTTCAGGTAAAGGTTTAAAAAAAAGGTTTAAAAAAAGGTTTAAAAAAAAGTCGAGGCTGATTGAAAAATGGGGGATACTTTGCATAGATAATTTCAAAACAATTATGTTTCATTTGAAATATCACTGATTTTTTTTTCTGAACCAACAAGAAACTTCTTTTAATGTGGGATCTAAATTACCATTTATGAAAGTCACTATCTATGTTGGTTTTTGAAACTTAAATACTTTTGAATATTGTATCTGTGTGATCCAACATCCACAGACTCCTTTGAATACCCCAGGCTTAATGGAAATTGGGCATTAAACAACTTTGAAAATCTCAGCCTTGGTTTCCTATCTAGAAAGTGTCAAGATTTTTTTACCTATTCTTTTTCTGACAATCTAGTTAGTATGTAAGGTCACTATCGCTGAGAGAGTCTCCTATTATATGTCTGTTCTTTCCCCTAATGTAATGCTCGCAGGCAGAATCAAACCTTGGACCTTTAGCTCATGCACTAAGTACTAAAATTCCCAGATTTGAGTCTGCCTGTAGGTGTTACTAGTGAGGTCTAATCTGGAATTTCATCTAGGAATTCTCTGAAACTCAGGACACGCTTCCTCAGTAGGGGAAATATGTAACCCACACACCTTCTAAGGGCACATCTACATTGCAGGGCAAAAGTCAAATTAAGATATATAACTTCAGCTTCATCAACTGTGTAGCTGAAGTCGAAATAGCTTAATTTGGCTTTTAGCACTAGCTACACAGCAGGATGTTGAAGGAAGAACACTCTTCCTTCAACTTCCCTTACTCCTTGTAAAATAAGGGTTACAGAAGTCACAGTAAGAAGTCCGCCATCTCAAAATTATTCTGCAATAATGGCTTGCTGTGTAGATGTATTCTAGGGCTACGTCTACACTTCCAATCTTGCAGAAAAAGGAGTTTTTGCGCAAAAAGAAAATTTCTACGCTGATTGTTTTTGCACAAAAACCCCACCGCAAAAACAGATCAGCAGAAAATATGCAAATGAGATCTCGACCCATGCAAATGAGTCCCTCATTTGCATATTTTTTGCCGAGAAAACTTGTAGACATAGCCTCGATTTGGTGTACTATCCCATCTAGTGGCACCAAGACCACTTAGTGTATGTCTAGACTACAAAGTTTTTTCAAAAAAGTGGCCTTTTTCGAAAAAAACTTCACCTACATCTAGACTGCCATTGTGTTTTCTAAATTAAATTGAAAGAACGCAATGGGTTTTTTTTGACAGCGGTAAACCTACTTTTACAAGGAAGAATGCCTTTTTTCCAAAGAGCTCTTTCAAAAAAGGCGTTCTTGACCACAAACAGGGCTTTTTTGAAAGAGATTGTCCAGATTGCTTGGGTGCTCTCTTTTGAAAAAGCAGCTCACTTTTCAAAAGACTCGGGGCTGTCTAGACGATCTCTTTCGAAAAATCTTTTTCGAAAGAGGCCTGTAGTCTAGACATACCCTTAGAGAGAACGAATCTGCCTGAGAACCAGCTGGCTTCTCACTCCTGCAGTAAAGACTCCTACACTTAGCTCCAGAAGTCCCCGCTTTGATTCCTAAGAGTGCCTAGGAATTGGACTAATTACTGGCATTTAAAATATTTCCCAGCATAAACTTTCAGTGTTTTCAGTGGGAAATGACCTCGTATGTCAAATTTGCCTCACTGTCAACAGCACAGTGAGGTCTGATCACACTTAGTGATATTGAAATAGATGCAATAAACAGTCTGGCTGAACCTAGAAATTCGATTGTTTTGAACATTTGTGCCAGTAAAATGTTGTTGCTTCAGTGTTCATAATATTTAGAGTGAAAAGTGGAGGGGAGAACAGAACCAATGCAAAAGTAATTGAAAAATGGGAAGGATTTGAGAATTTTTCTACTGTCTTATCCAGCTCCTCTTAAAAATATATTGTTTAGGAATTTCTAATTTTTATCCATAGTTAATTCCTCTAAGTGCTTTAGAAAATTTTATCCCATTTTTTTTTAAACAAGAAGTTTTGATTATGTTGTAAAATATTATGGGATGGATTTTCAAAAGAACTTAGTTGATTTTTTAAAAAAATAAGTGTGGTTGCACTTTAAAGACTAGCAAATTTGTTAGGGAATAAACTTTCATTAGGTCAAACTCTCACTACTTCAGATGCTTGAAGAGAAAAAAGGAAGGAATACAGAGATGGGAGTGTGACATTAACGCTAATTAAATCAGAGAGTGATGAGGTGAGTATCTCAAGGAGAAATTACCTGTTGTATTGTGATTGAGGAGCACAAACCCACACTGATTTTCAACAATGTTTGTAGAAAGTCATGAATAGACAAATAACACCACAAGTGTTTATTTTGTGTGTGGTGCTTTATGAACACATGTTGATGTGCAACCATAATTTATTTTTAAAAAACAGTGCCCGCAGAATACTGTGAATGGATCTATAGAACAGAGACATTAGAAGAATTTTGTATAAGAACATACATAATGAAGCGATTGCCCATGTATATTGCACACAGAGTATGAAATAAATAACAGAATAATTACTTGACTGCCTAAGAATTGGACTAATTACTGGCATTTAAAATATTTCACAGCTTAAACATTCACAGTGTTTTCAGTGGAAAATGACCTCGTATGTCAAATTTGCCTCTCTGCTGACCTAGGGAGGTCTGTCTACATGATGCAGTTCTGTGAGCTTCCAAACTGGTACTCTCTCACTGGAGAGGAAACAAATGACTTTTTTTTCCAACCATTCAAGCACGAATTCCCTTCCAGAGTGGAGCCTGTACTCTACCCAGCCCTCTTACTGGGATGTGTTGAGCCTTGTATCCTCGCATCTCTGAGCAAAGAGATGACTGACAGCTGATTATCTGAGGGAAAAAAAAGATTTTTAAAAGTGCTGTACAGTGTGAAGACGTCTTCCTGTGGGAAGAGTGAGGCAGCCTGCTCAAGTAACTCGGGGCTCTTTTGCGATGTCTCTTCCTTCATACCCCGCCTCCAATTCTTTCCTCTTTCTCAGGCACCCTTGATGTCTTCCCCCTTCCTTCTCTGCCAGCTGGGTTAGGTTCCCTTGCCAATCCCCCTTCTCTTCCTCTGTGCTAGTGAAGGATCTGCCTTTTCTCCTGCTGAGATAGCTGCCTGGGGGAAATCTCTCATTCCTCTCCTGTCCCTCTCTGG